TGCTTTTTTTTTTTTTTTGAGACAGGGTCTCACTGTATAGTTGAGACTGGAACTCACTATGTAGCCCACACTGGTCTCGAGCTCACAGTGATCCTCCTGCCTCAGCCTCCCGAGTGCTGGGATTACAGGCATGCGCCACCACACCCGGCTCTATTCACTGTTTTTAATAGCACACCTATTCAGCCACATTCAGCCCGATGATGTCTGTAAAAACCATTTAGCTGGGTATGGTAACTCATGCCTATAATCCTAGCTACTCTGGAAGCTGAGGTAGGAGGACCTCAAGTTCAGTCCAGCCTGGGAAACTTAGCAAGAGCCTGCCTCAAAATAAAGTAAAAAGGGCTGAGGGGTATAGTGCAGTGGTACCATAACCCTGGTTTCAATCCTAGTACTTCAAAAAAACAAAACCAAACCTAACCCCCCCTCACCAGTAAAGGTGACAGGGGCAGTCCAGGTTAATGGGACAAGTGCAACTTTGGAGCAAGAGAGATTCAGGTTTGAACTGCAGCCCCCTTCCCCTACTGGCTTTGTGATCTTGGGAAAATGCCATGCCTTAGGTTTTTCATCTGAAAAGTGTAGTTAGTGACTGGTTTGCCACTCAGCGCTGCTTTGAAGGTTACTGGAGGCGGTGCACAGACTGCACTAGCCAGCTCCTAGGAATGCTCAGTCAGTGCTGGCTGCTGCTGTTCCCATGAGACCATTAGCATTTTTAGTAGGAAAGTGTAAGATGGTCTGTTCCTCTACAGACCCCTCCCTTTAGCATCTCTTCCCTGACCTCTGCCCAGCCCATGGGCCCAGCCTGGGCACTCACCTGCTGGCAGCTGCTGACCCAGGAGGCCCGCAGGGCACCCCAGCCTCCCGCGCGCTTGGCCGTGCTTTCCAGAAGCATCCGAAGTTGTGTCTCCAGCTCCCGGCTGACTTGCTGGAGGGCACGCACCTTGGCCACATACCCCACCAGGCAGCCCCCCAGGTCCTCACCAGCAGTGTGCTCAGCATCCTGGTGTGGAGCCGGCACCGTGGCCAGGCCTGAGCTCCGTAGGCCCTGTAGGAAGATGCTGCTGATGCCCAGGGTCCGGCGAGTCACACGAGCACCTAGGCCCCCTGTGCACCCATTGGGCACCGTTCCTACGTAGACCCCAGGGGCATGGACAGGGGCGCCCATGACATTTGTTCTGGAAGCTGGGGGGCTCTCTAGAGGGGATGGTGACCATTCCCCCCTGAAGGATGCCCTGTGCCTGTGGAGGGGCACGCTGGGCAAGTCTGCCACCGCCCGCTGCTCGCTCATCGCTCCTCTGCCTCTCTTCTGTCCAGCAGGCTTGCAGAGTCCAGTGGGTTTTGGTTTCCATCCCCAGCATCCCTGTGGCCTGATCACGGGCCTCTCTAGATGCTCCTCCACCCCCAGAGCTCTTTGTACGCTGCTTTCCATGCCTTTCCATCATTCACTGAGCTGAAAGGCAGACAAGTCCTGTCCAGGCTGTGTGCAGAGAGGCACTCATGTGTCCTGTGATGTGAGGTATTGTGCCCGGGCACCCAGACTGTTCTGCTGGTGTGGAGAAGGCTGGACAGTGCAGGCTGGGGGTGGCTCAGCTAGGTTTGTACATTTTACTGCCTAAGAGAGAGCAAAGCAGGCATCAGGCAGCCCCATTTCACAGATGAATAAACCAAGGCTCAGGGGCCTCTGTCACAAGTGTGATGCTCATTTCCCTCAACCCTCTGATCACAAGCCAGGGTCCAGTATAAGGCTTTCAGCACTGCTCTCTGCATCCCTATGTGTGTTGCTGTGTGTGAAGGTTGAATGTGAAGGTCATAGAGGCTGAGGTGGATGCAGACCAGCCGTGGTCCCAGGGACCTGGGCCTGCTACTTCCTTCCTTTTCCTCAGCCCCCGCAGTGGTTCCAGTTTCCTCCCCAGCTCCTTCCCTTCCTTTCTCATGTCCACCCTCTCAAACTCTGCCCCTCAGCTGCTTGACCTTGGCTGTGGTCAATTCACCCCTCCAGACCTTTCTTCCCATGCTGGCCTGAGCTTGGACTCGATGCAGCAGACATCAGATCCTGAGTGAGTTCAGGCTGCACACATGTTGGACACCTGTTGTGCTCGGTCCCTTACACCTCTCCTTCCCCATCTGTCAGAAAACAAATGAAAAGAAATGCCCAAGCGTGTTTTTGGTAGGGTCCCCAAAGTTGTAGCAAGTTAGCGTTGGTGAGATGCCCTGGGTTTTAACTCCTTTCCTCAGCATCCAATGCGTCACATTGTTAAGGGTCACACCCCGTCGCCTCCGAAGATTCCTCCAGCCTTAGGCTGTCAACCTGGACCTAAAGGTCAACTTGGACTGCTCTTAAGCTTTTCCCCAGAGAAACCAGACAGCCAAAATGCAGAGAGGGATATTTATCATAGATCCTGAAGTGTGGGTGTGAACCTCAAACAAGAGAAGGGGAAGCGAGCCCACTATGAGCGAGAATTGAATCCATCCCAAAGCTGTGCACTGAATTTATCTCACTGAATTCTCAAATCAACCTCAGAAGATTGGGAGATACAGGGTTGACATTGTATTGCTGTTTGGGCCGTGTAGGGCACAACTCTGGAAATATTACCACATAATCTCCAACTGGCTATCATCCCACTGTATGATATGGGTCTTGAGAACTGCAGTGATTCCGTATGCAGAAAGTAGCAGAGCTAAGGAGGACTCTTCTGATCCTGTCCATACCCACCACCCACAGAGCAGGGAACTGGTCCAAGGTCACACAGGCCATGTTAAAAAATCTGGTCACTAGAATACTGTGTGTTCTTTCTGTTGATTAGGACACTACAACCCTTCCTTCCCCTTTTCCCTTTACACATTGTCTATTTGATATGATGTGGGAGGGACGTGCAAACATTAATGTGGGTTCTTTGATTACAAACTAAGGAGCCAACTAGATTAGATAGTCTGGTAGTGCCTTGGTTAGTCTACGTGGCATCTGGAGACCCTGACAATAACATCCTCTTCCTAGAGGGGACACTGCTGGCTGAGGATCTGCATTATGCTCAGTTCCAGGATGCAGCGTTCATGGCTAAAGCTACTCAACTGTTGACAGCGGTGTCATGCTTAAGCACTGTTATGTCACAGAATGGTAACTCGATCCTTAACTTTAAGTTTCTCTGCCCAAAGATATTTACCACAAATCTACCAGATCCTGGGGAGAGCGGAAATGTCTCCAGAGACCTGAAGAGAGGTGATTCTCTTTGGGAGGAGTTACAAACGTGTTCTAAAGGATGTTTCATCAAATGATAAACTGCTAGTCCTATTATCTCACCATACTCATAAAACCCAGTGTTATGTTAAATCAGATTAAAAAATACAAATGGACATGAAGTAGTATTGGTTCTATTTAAAAGGAGGCTTAAACGTTATTTTAAAGATGTAAAAGAAGGGGGTTGGGATTTAGCTCAGTGGTGCTGCCACCTGCCTCGCAAGCACAAGGTCCCGAGTTTGATCCCTAGTACCCACCCCAAAAGAAGGCAAAATGTATTAGCATCTTAATCATCTGGGTAATAAAATAAGTTTATTTATATATACATGGTAGCTGAATTCTGTGGATACGGAAAAATAAGTCATACATCCACAAATGTATATATAACATATGTACCTTTGATTACATATATTATATATGTTTTACTTTACAGATTTCTCTCTATACTCACACACATTGAAATAGTCAATGCAATAGCTAACAGAAAAATTATGATAAAGTTAAGAAAATCAGACAACATGTTAAAAAACAAACCTCAGAGCAACATTTAACCTGCTTTGTGAGTTGAAGTCTTTGAAGAGAGATAACAAGAAAACTCATGTCTAAGTCAGTTCATACAACATTGAGAACACACGTTTTTGAAGGCCATCTTGCTTTTTGAAAAGGAAAATATAGGAAGAAAGGAAAAATCATGGTGAAAAGACCACAGGACAAACACAAACATACAAAGCAACATTCAAGTTTGATTCCCAGTCTGACTATAAGAACATCTATATTCAAAATATACTATCAAACTATTTTTTTAAGAGAAAAGAAGCATCAAAGCAGTTATCTTTTCTCCTAGCCACTATTAGGGAGAAAATAGAGACACGGCCGTGTCTGGAAGCCCCTCTTGCGTTGTCGGGAGCCTGACCCGTTGGCTGTGCTGGGCACAGTGAAGTGGCAGAGGCAGCCCAGTCTGGGGAAGGGACAGGAGAACAGAGCTGATGGCCAGTCCGTGGGCTGTCTGAGGTTGCCAGGCAGGACAGAATGGTGCTTCTTTCAAATGACTCATTCTGGCAGCCTTGTTCTTTTAAGATTGCAAGAGGAAGGTTTTGAAAATGATATCTGTGGGCCGAGGATTTAGCTCAGAGGTTCTGCTACCTGCTTTGCAAGAGCAAGGTTCTGAGTTCAATCCCTGATACACCCCCCCGAAGACAGCTGTATACCTGTTTCTTAGATAAACCATTCCTCAGGGGTATAATACCAGTGCTTTTGCAGAAAGCAAAGCTAAACCTTGTAGATAAACTCTTGGCCCTTGAGGAAGGGTACACATTCTAAATCTCTGGGGCTGGGATCTGTGTCTATACCCACCCAAGAAAAGGCACGGGGCTTCAATACAGATATGGGCATTGGAGGGGATGGAGAGGGAGATGGAGGCTCTTCAAGGGAGCTTTAAAAAAATTTCTGCTGGAAGGGGCAGTCCTGTCTTTAGTAAGGTGGCAGGCCCCCTGTGGGTGATGTTAAGGGAGCTTTTAGATGCCTCCATGTCCCCGTGGATTCCAGAGGGCTGCATGTTCCTGTCTGCTGGCCATAACTTATATGAATTAAAGCTGACAGTGGTGCCACCGTGAGGCTGCAGGTGCTCCTCCTCAGGGGGATGACATGTTCCCTTTTCCTGCTTGGTGCATCAGACTATGTCTTCCTCCTAGGTGGCCCAATGCCTTTGGCTAGTGTGCCCAGGAGGGAGGAAGACAATGTCACACTGAATCTAGAGGAACCAGAGCTTTCAGAATCATGCAATGGACAATGCACTTGACTTTAACATTCAGCTTCTACAGGAAGTCCATCTCTTCACTCACCTGCCCCGGGGTGCTGGGGCCCCGAGTGCTCAAGGACAGTTAAGAGAAGCAATCCGTGCCACTGCTTTGCTTAGAAATACCTTTATTTTATAAAGCCACAGGTCATTCTGTAAAGTTTTTTTTGTTTCATTTTTAAACCACACTTATAAAAAAGGTGTTGACAGTTCTTAGGAAAAAATGTCGAAAATGTTTCTCATTAAGTCAGGGTTACACAAAGGTTATATTTATAATATATATTTGTATATTTATAATTTTTAAAGATGAAAAATAGGGAATGGCAAAGCAAAGGCTGCTGCAGTTAGATCTCAGACACTTGGTCGTTGCCCACAAACAGTGTTTCCTGACAGAAGGGGTTCACCAGGACCATCCCTGTGTCACGGTAGTCGCCATTGGCTGGGGAGCAGGGCTCGGAGAGCTGGTCCTGGGGAGAGAGGGAGGAGACTGTGACCTGGGGAAGTTGTGAGAAGTAGCTGTTCCCCCAAAAATGCACACACAGGGACATGCGTTTTGGGTGGCTTGGTCCCCATTATGATCATCTCCATGGCCAGAGCTGAGGTGCAGTGTGCCCTGCTGTTCTTTCTATTTTTATAGTAGAGCCCTCCTAAACTACCCTGCCCTGAGTTGCTGAAGTTGCTGCTGCTGTCCTTGTTAAAGTCTGAGAGGATCTGCCCTGCTGGGCGAAACTGGTCCACTTGGACCCCAGGTTCTATTTCCTGCCTCTTTCTCACAGACCTCTGGGAAATGCCCTTGCTTTTCCTTTGTCAACTCGCTTACAGTCCCACTTCTCTCCTTTCCTGCCACCCAAGCGCCAGAGTCTGACAGATCTGTCAGTCCTCAAGGTTCAGTCCCCCTTCCCAAATCCTCCCTGAGCCTCTCAGAATTATTGCCCCATCTCCTGTTGTCCTAGCAGCGCTAAGCTGAGTGTACCTGAGTCTCTGTGTGACTGCACAATAGGTGCTAAGCCAAACAGCTTGTCTGCTCAAGCTCAGGGGCAGAGGGGCCTAGAAAGTGGCAGTTCACTGCTTAGAAGCTAACCTGGTTGCTTTGGCACGGTTCTCAATTATAAGGGACTGTAAATACTTGTGGGGTGCTAGATGGCTGAACCTAGATTCAGGCCGGGTATTCCTTTAAGGAAAAACAGAGAAGAAAGAAAAGTCAAGAGCTGGGAATTTAGCTCAGTGGTTCCACTGCTGTCTTGCAAGCGTAAGGTCCTGAGTTAGATCCCCAGTACCGGTGAA